TTTTTTAAATAGGTCGTTTGCAATCGATGTGTGACATGAAGGATGACAACAAGTTTTTTTTTTTCCCCGTAATTATTTGGTATATTCGTGATAATATATATATATTTTTTTCTTCTTTTTTGCTCTACACTGTCCCTGTCCGACACCCTGTCAGGGGACGCCGCATGACTGCTCACACATGCGTGTGTACGCAGGCAAAAGTCGACCTCATAGGCCGACTTTCTCATCCTACATTATATGTATATAACTTGTTTTTCCATTGTTTTCGATGTTTGTTGAACTTCAGATTGGACGGCGATAACTGCGTTTCATAATCAGATGCATCTCACAGGCGGAAGAAGGTATGTCAGCCTCACATGACATCATTGCGGTAGAGACGGTGACGGAGTTTGCCACGCCCTCTTTGCATCATAACTCCGACGCCGAATTGCAGGACTTGAGACAGAGGGTTCCTCATTATTTTCATGTGCATATCGATGTCGATGCAACCGTTGCTCGCAACCTCGACAACATGCAGGATGCAAGCGTCTTTCTGGACAGGCTGCATCACTCACCCCTCCTAGAAAGGACAACGGTTTCCCACCCCAACAGACCGATTGACATACAATCTTACACGGAGAAACCATTTCTGGATTGGATCACAGAACAGGAGGATGTCGATATGAATAAACACCAAAAGGGTGACATGTACACAAAACCCGCGTTTAAGAAAAAACTGCAATCGAAGATACGTGCCGCACAATTGAGGCTACCCTTCAATGCCGCCTTGTTGAAACCGGGCGTGGCCGAGGTGTTATCCTTGTCGCAGTTGCCCTTAAAAAATTGTGTGCAACCCGCTTGTCTTGCAGAKTTGCCTGTCATTGTTGCTGATGGAATTGAGTATTTCCTTCTGGGTCAAATTATGGATTTGACCAGGAGAAGTAAATTCGATAGAAATGTCATTCACTGCATCCTCCATCCTATGATCACAGATGTGTTTGCAGGAGGGGAAACAGTGACATACTCCTTAGCTCCTCCTCCTGTGTCCAATGCAATGTCAACCTTAGTTCAAGATTGTGTAATCGAGTGCGCAGCACAAGCTATATGTGCAGCTCCTACAGAGGTTGATAGGCAGCGCAAGCGACAGCAGGGTTGGGATCTCGTCGCCGCAGAGTGTAAGAAGAGCTGTGTAGAGGAGGAGGAGGACAGTAGTGATCGTAATCATCAACAAACCAAACTTGCGGTGGCCATGTTCAGAGGGGATAGCGGTTGAGAGAAAGTAACAAAGCACGATGTGAAAGCAGAGAATTTAATCCTGCAGTGGACGCTCTAGAACTCGTCTCATTCCGCAGGCCAGGAAGAGAATCCTACCCCCAGCAAAGCCGTGGAGAGAAAATTTGAGAGGTCATTTGTTTATGATGGTGACAACAGAGAAAACCCTGTTATCATGTCGCAACATTTTCGCACATTTGATGGCAGAGGGCAGGGTGAGGGAGAGGAGGCATTTGATGCACAAGTGGACACAGAAAGTTTCGACATCTTCAACGAGAAACTTGTTGCAGATGCGTACATCGACGAGGACTTCTACAAGATTCTGGAGTCAAAGGACAACAGTGAAGCAGAATGGTGTTATGCCGTGCTGAGGTTGGCAAGACACTACAGTGAGCCGCATCCTGCTTTACGTATCGTTGATGGATCGACGTCCCCCGATGGAAAGCTAATGCAGCTAGCAGTCTCATCACTCATGAGAACATGTCAGACGGGGAAGGACTTTTCCTGTGGTGGGAAGTCATGGTTTGTGCTGGTAAATAAAGAGGCTGTTATATGTACATACGAAGGATGGGGCGATAACCTGGTTTGTGTAGTTGCTGGAGCAGTTGCTCGTGCTGATGGTCATGATGTCCACCCTGGTTTGCCAAATGCTACAGCTATCTTGTCTACTATCTCCAGAAATCTAGGGCCCGATGCAGGGTAGTTGATCATTTTGTCCTTGACAAGGATTACAAAGATCATGCATAATAAATTAGTAGAAACTTTTTGTAATAGAGGTTTAAAAGTTCGATGTTGTATTTGGTAATTATTTCAAACATGAAGAGGGGAAACGAGTTTTTTGTTTGTATTTTGCTCTTATGTTTTTTTTTTTTTCTATTTTTTTTTTTTTTTTCCATCAAACATGTCGCCACTGTTATCAGCAGGACACAGTTATTTGTAATTGGAAAGTAATTTTTTTTTTTTTTTTTTTTTTTTTCTTTTTTTTTATTTTATTATTTTTTTTTTTTGTTTTTTTTTTTTTTTTTGATTGCCGATGAACACGTTTTAAATCTGGAATTCGTGAGATATAACTTTAGTGAAAGTCGCCTCGTAACGGGCCTGACCTCAATTTTGTGTGCAAATCTTCACCTTGCTATTTGACTTATGTGATGGGAACTGTGTGTCATTGAGGATGTGGTATGTCATGCCTTCTCGTAGAGTTTGGATGTGCACAACATGACATGAGTTCGTCGTGTATGCCTTTCGTTCCAAGCATGATCCGATGGCTATTGCTCATCTTCCTCGTCTTCGTACCCGTTCGCCCATGGACTGCTCTGTGTTCCTTCTGTACATGGAGGTCGGCAGGTGCGCCACTCTCTTTTTTACAACCTCGTCATTCAAAGTCGAAAAACAGCGCACCTTCCGACCCTGCTACGCATACGACGAAAGTGGACCCTTATAACCTCACCTTCAAGGTATGGTTAATGCCTCTCTTTTGCGTATGATTCTGGTCCTTGCTGTATCGCATGTATGTTCATAAATGCATGCGGGGGCGAGGAGTAACGGGGGATTTTTTTATTATTATTATTATTATTATTATTTTTTTTTTTTTACCCGTTCTACATACAACGAAATTGATACTATAAACATATGTTAAGGCTTGGAAGGAGATGCAATATGAGCGGGAACTTGAATTGTGTGCCTTATCTGCGAGGACGAAAAACCGAATTGCTCTCCATCACAAAGATATGGATGTATATGTTTGCGAAATAACAGGGGGAAAAAAAAAAAAAAAAATACTGCACTGCAAAATTGTCGACCTCGTAGACGAGTAACAACTGATATGAAAAGGTTGATCTTTTCCATTCATATATTACCAGGACTCTCACTCATAATATGTAACAAAGAAAGTCCAGTACGAAGAATTGCAGTTGACGATGGCGGCACACGGATACATGACATGTGATTGCGGCCGTGCATTTGGAAGTACACAAGCTATGAACTCACATCGATCACGAGGATGCCCTGCAAGTATCATTGACCTGACGTTATCATCTAGTGGTGATGAGAACATGGTACCGACAGGGGATGACAGAGATGATGAACCAAMTCCAGCAAATATTCAAGGAACCATCCACGCGGGGACAGGAAGTGAACCTTTCAATGAAAATGTTGACGATGATGAATTACACAACGGGGTCGCAGGTCATAATGAGAATGTTATACATTATGACTCTGCACGAAAAATAGCAGCAATGATGTTATCGGCAAGAGGGGGACTAGGATTATCTCTCACAGATATGGATGCGTTACTTGCAATAGTCCGTAATCCACACTTCGATCCTCGCTCGATACCTTTTCGCACAAGAAAAGAGTGTCTACTGTGGACAGGTCGACAAGCAGGGGTTAATGCATGGCAAAAAGTAGATATGAGGAAGGAAGATTGACCACAAGATGCGCACGTAAAGTTGTGGTTCTGTGATTGGAAGACGACATTCTTGTCGTTACTAGAACGTGGATTCAGATCAAAGAACAAATTAGTCATGGAAGCTCCGGCAGAGACGGATTAGAATAGTCCAATGACAGGTACTATAACGGCATCGACGTGGAGGCACGTACAAAACACAATGCGCACCGCGAAGGGGTTGGACATGAGCGGGCAACAAAGGTATGTGGTTCCTTTTTCGTTGTACTCAGACAAAACACATATGGATGGCAGAATGAAACAAATAGTATATCCACTCATGATGTGTGTTGCCGATAGAGCAACAGAGGCCACACTTCTAGCGTACTTGGCAGTTCTGACACACAGACCGAAAAACGCAGGTCGGGGCCAACAATCTTCTCAGTTCAGAAAACGTAAAAGCGTAGTATTCCATGAAGCTCTCTCCATGGTTTTACAGGCTGCTAAGGACGCATCACACGAGGGTGCCGCCGTTCGTACACACGACCTCGGTGAAATCACGGTGCATCTTTTCCTTCTGAACTATATCCAAGATTATCTAGAGAGGTGTGCGCTAGCAGACGTCAAATTTGGTCGCTGCCCCACCTGCACGGTTGCAAAGTCAGACATGGACAGGTACACTGATTTTGAAAGCAACAACAGATCAGAGGAGTCTGACAAAGCAGTAATACATAACTCCAGAATGTCTTCGACTCCCGACATCCGTCATGCTGCACAGGAGTGTCTTTAAGAGTGGGGATTATACAGATACATTTCCGCAAATGGGTTGTGGGGGTTTTACAAAGGGCCAGAGGGCGACGACCCGTTGATGGATTATCATCTGACACTTCAACCGGATAGGATGCACACGATAGAGCATGAAATATTTTTACATATGATAGATGCCTTTCGTGAGGCCGCAAAAGAAAAACTTTCCGGAACTCCTAACACGGAAATATTAGCAGAACTAGATGCAAGGCTCCAGTGCATAAGCGAGCGATGCGTAAACACATATCCAGGACTTGTATTGCCCGTACGCATAGGTAGTGATTTCTTTTCCAGAGAAGGTAGATTCGAGGCGAAGCAGAATCGCTCCGTGATGACCGTGGTCATGTTCGTGGTTCACAATGTAGTGAAGGGTAGAGCARGGAAGCGGTARACGAAGTGTTTYTGCAAGCTTATGAAATTTTATATGRCACTTTTTCGGAGRGCATCGCACACAGTAGCTTCTCTCGATTACTCTGACGAATTGTTAGGTRATTTCATGTATTATGTGAAAACTTACATGGGCCGATATCAAGCATCACAATGGAAATTGCCAAAGATGCATGATCTCAACAAGTTCAGGGCATGCGTGGAGCGGTCAGGGCTCCCGGACACATTCGCAGCCGATGTATGGAAGCATCATCATATTACATTTTGCACAGATCCTTATCGATCATCAAATCGCAGACATGCAACAACGCAGATGGTAGACCATGTCCGTCGATCTATCGCTTTGCAAGACGAAACAGAATGTATACGTCGACAAAAGATCACGGAAACCGAGAACTGGTCTGCTGTCGGCAATGCCGAGACAAGTAGAACAAACACCTTGTCTGCAAGAAACAAAGCCACACTGCGTTTGAAATGGTTTTCTTTACAGAATGTCTCCGCAAACGTTAGTGAACGCAGGAGTGAAGATGGTGCATTCACTCTCGAGAACATATTGTATAGAAAAAATTTCAGAGCTGCGTTATCAATATTTTTCAACGAAAACGAATGCCATCCCCCCACGAACGAGACAGTGATCAAAACAAGGACGCACCTTGCAATTGGATGCACCGACGATGAAAGTATCAGGGGATCAATGGTACAAATAGCCAGAGTTTCACCACGGTTTCACGGCCGGCCTGTCCACAGCGATGTATGTGTCAGAGTTGTAGAAGGAGAGTTGTGGTATGCATCAGTGAGTATGTTTTTCGTCGTATAAGGTCAGCGAGGTCAAGAGGTTCACACATTCAAGTGTGCATATGTACACTGGTATAAAGAAATCAGGAATGAGTCCTGTGTCACTACGGCATGCAAGGTTGTGAAATGAGAGAAAGCAAATGATCGACAACTCAGCAGCGTAATTTCTACGGATACTATAATCGACATTGCACACATAGTTCCATATTTCAAGAAGCCCCAATGGGGAACAGGTTGATTTGCTGTGTGAAAGGAAGACCAATTTTGTGTTAATAAGTACACTCTCTAACGGATTTCTATGGGTCATCGTATGCCTGAAGGTATAACTCTCATAACTGAGACAATTTGGCTTTCTGCACGGTCCTGCATTTCCATATCGGTGCACAAACTTGCTAACGAAGACAGACATCGATTCCGCTTTTAATTATCCTCACACTCTTACAATTACTTGACATGCTAACTGTTTTATTGCACCAGAAGGAAAAAAATCGGAAAACATTGTCAATAGACAATACGTACGAACTTGTGTAGAAAGAAAAATGTCGACTGCTCTCTCTCTCTCTCTCTCTCTCTCTCTCTCTCTCTCTCATCCCGGTGTTTACACGGCGAAACTTCAGACAATCCGAAAACGGTGGACGGCAGGTGCGTCATTCTATTGTCTACAACCTTATCAATGTGTGTCAAATATCAGCGTACCTGCCGACCCCAGGAAAGCTTCCAAAGGAACTGGCCCCAGAGAAACGCTGACTGCTTTTTTTTTTTTTTTTTTTTTTTTTTTTTTTTCCTCTCTCTCTCTCTCTTTTTCTCTCTCTCTCTCTCTTTCTCTCTTTCTCTCTCTCTCTCTCTCTCTCTCTCATCCCGTTGTTTACACGGCGAAGCTTCAGACAATCGGAAAACGGTGGTCGGCAGGTGCGTCCGTCTATTTTGTACAACCAATGTGCGTTAAATATCAGCGCACCTGCCGACCCTGGGAAAGCTTCCAAGGGAACAGGCCTTAAACAAACGGTATAGGGGGAAGAGGATGACGTGATGGTTAGTGGCGGGAAGCAAAAGGCAATAACAACATGTGCCACATAACGAACGTGACGTCTGTATTTCGGGAACCATAATCGCGTTTTCATATGCGATCACCACTTAAGTTTACCTAAACACATATTCATTCTCAAAGAGCGATGTGAAAAWAAAAGTTAGATTAAGAGGATGCGAATGTCATTTGGTGAAACCACATGAATTCTATCTACTCTTGTTCATAGTGTATGACGCTTGTACTCGCAAAGACATGCATATATGTACCTGACAATTGATAAGACAACATTACAACGCTGTGATAAGCCTCTGTATTTGACTGATGCCCCCTTTGTTTCCAGATAAAAATGTCACAAGTAGCATGGAG